AGAGAATTCCAGTAATCAGTGCATCAGTGCAAGAAATTACTAGAGCATGAACAAGCTACTTTGTAGCATCTTGTGTAAGAAAGGGGCAGTAGTGGGCAATGTTTTTACGGAGGAATTGGCAGGATGTGGCAACAGACTTCAAGTGAGGTGTAGGGGTGAGGCCAGAATCAGATAACACTAAGACCCAGCTTGCAAAGACTGGCTGATGCGAGTACCATCAACTTGAAGGGAGAGCAAAAGAGGTGGAATAGTATTAAACGGAGGGAAAACAATAAGCTCAGTTTTAGAGAGATTGGGTTTCAGAAAGCAGGAGGACATCCAGACTGAGAATAACACATTGCAGGACAGCGGGGGAGAGATCAGTAGAGGAGAGATTTGCCATCGGCATACAGGTGGTAGCGGAATCCAAAGGAATTAATGAGTTTGCCAAGGGAGGCAGTATAAAGAGAGAACAGAGGGGGACCAAGAACAGAGCATCGAGGGACTCCAACCAAGACAGGATGTGGGGAGGAGATATCATTAGAAAAGAAGACACCTAATGAACCTTGGGAGAGATAGGAGGAAAATCACGATATGACAGTGCCACAGAGAACGAGGAATTGAAGAGTGTGGAGAAGGAGGATATGATTAACAGTGTCAAAGGCAGCAGAGAGGGCAAGAAGAAATAGTATAGAGTAGTGGCCTTTGGATTTAGCCACGATAAGATAACTTGTAACTTTAATCAGAGCAGTCTCAGTAGAGTGGAGAGGGCAGAGGCCAGATTGAAGAGGGTCAAGGAGAGAGTTGGAATTGAGGAAGCAAACCAAACAGGCAAAGACGGGTCTTTCTAGAAGCTTAGAGGAAAAAGGGAGCCGGGATATGGGACAATAATTGGAAGGGGAAGAGATGGCATCTTAGGATGGGTACGACAGTAGCATGTTTGAAGATATTCATTAAGGATGGCACAAGACAAGGGGAGAAAGATCTAATTAGGTCAGATGGGACCAGGCGGGTGTCACACGTATCGTTGTGGCGGCATTCCCACATGGTAATGGGAATGCCACCAATTACTTACCTCCTCCTGTGATACTACCACAGAAGTATCACAGCTCTTCCCACCACATTTCACCCCCAACCATTTCACCCTCCTATTCCAACTATCCTAAACCCAGGCCCACCAAACCTGTCCCACTCATGACTATCCCACAAAGACCTGATCTCACACCCAGACCTCAAAGATTCAGACATACATTCACACCCATCCCAGCACACCCCCTCACCTACCCTCCACACACTATCCTAACAGATACCAAGTGTTATCTACAGATTTGGACACAGACACTGAGGATCATTTTTTAGAACTAGGCCCAAATCCACTTACTGCCACACCTTACCTACCCAGAACAAAAAAAGAGAAATCTAAGCCTAGAGGAAGGAGAAGTGACAGAAGATTTCAAAAGAGAAAGACTAGAGAGACACTAACTAATACAGACAACCCTCATGGAATTTTTAACCTTTCCCAAAAAATTTTAACTACTACCCAAATATCGGTTTTAACTAAGGGCCTCAAATTTGCACCTACCAATCCCTATCAACCATTCCAAGCCTTTTTAGATTTAAATAAGTTTGTTAGGAAAGCTACACTAAAAAGATTTTTAGCAGCAGAATTGAGAATCAATCTATTAACCAGGGACAGACCAACTATTCCCCCACACCTCCATGTATTAATGACGAGACACCAGTGAAAAACACCACCCTTAAGAATAACTCTAATTTTTACCCATCAAGTTTCAAATCTGGCCCGATAGAAGTTTTTGAGAATTTGGTAAAGCAAGAATTTGGTAAAGTAGAAAAAATTACTACCTCCAAAAAAAACAACCACAAATATCATAAATATAACCAATATAACTTAACCTTTCAAGAAAGAAAAGCTCTCACAGATCTTAAAAAAGATGACACAATAGTCATCAAACCAGCCGATAAAGGGGGCGGCCTAGTTATACTCTCACAAGAAATGTACATCAAAGAAGCATTTAGACAGCTTAATGACCCCAAAGTATATGACAAGCTACTATCAGACCCAACCCATACCATCCAAAACTCCCTTATATAATTTTTAACCAAAGGCTTAAATTCCAATATCCTCAACAAAAAAGAATTTGCTTATTTAAATATACCTCATCCAAAAATTCCAGTTATATACTTTTTACCAAAGATACACAAGAATGAGACCAATCCACCAGGTAGACCTATTGTCTACGGGATCAATTCTGTTTTATCAAACTTCTCAGAGTATATTGACATTTTATTACAACCATCAGTCAGACTTAAAAGATTCCATGTCTCTCTTACGTTTTTTAGAAAATTTTACCTGGCATCCAGATTTTATTCTAGTCACTTGTGATGTCCAGTCTTTGTACACCATAATCCCCCACGAATTAGGGTGTGAAGCAGTTTTAAATAGATTAAAAACGGATAATAAAATTCCAGAAAAACAAATTAATTTTATCTTAGAAGGGATAAAAATTATTTTAACAAATAACTATTTTTGGTTTTTAGACACTTTTTACATTCAAAGACAAGGCACAGCTATGGGTACTAGGTTTGCACCAAGTTATGCCAATCTTTTTATGGACAATTGGGAGTCTAAAGCAATCTGGGGAGATCACCCCTGGAAAGCAAACCTAGTATCCTATTTTAGATACATAGGCAACTTGTTTTTTATCTGGAAAGGTCCTGAAACCTCACTTAAACTTTTTTTAAACCATCTAAACAACAACAATAGTGGCACCATTTTAACATCAGAACACAGCAAAGATTTAATAAATTTTTTAGACATACAAATTTTTATCCAGGATGGGAATATTAACACTAGAACTTTTTTTTAAAAAGTGTGCACCAACACAGTCATTGACAGATCAAGCTGCCACTACCAACCATGGTTAGATGGAGTCCCTAAAGGTCAGTTCCTACGTCTTCGCAGGAACTGTTCCCTTAATACAGATTTCGACGAACAAGCTAGAACACTAGAAGCTCAATTTATCAGTAAAAATTACCCAAAAGAAAAGCTAGAAGAATCCCTCAAAGCAGTGAAACAAAAAGAAAGACTCGAGCTTTTAGAATATAATACGAATAAAAATAAAGACCCACCATCCATGCCGATCATCTTTAACTTTGACAATAAGAATAAAATTGTGAAAAAACTATTCAAAAACACTGGCACATTTTAAAACAAGACAAAATTTTAAAGACACTCATCCCAGATAAACCCCATATCATTTTTAGAGGGGCCCCAAACCTAAAGACAATGCTTACTAAAAATTATACAAAAAAAGCCAATACAAGCAATCCATCATTTTTATCAAATTCTAAAGGTTTTTTCAAATGCAACAGATGCATTGTCTGCAGATCCACTGACCAAAACAGCACATCAAAGACAACACAATTCACCTCAAACAAAACCGGTATTACATACCCTATCAAAGATTTAATATGTTGCACTACTAAGAATGTTGTATACCTATTGGAGTGCCCATGTGGCCTCCAGTATGTGGGTATGACCACACGATGCTTAAAAATAAGGTTAGCAGAACATTGTAGAAATATTATCAAAGGCTACCCTAATCACTCTGTTTCAAAGCATTTTATTCAACACAACAAAGACCCTACATTTTTAAAATGTACTGGGATCCAAAGATGTAAATTACCCTGGAGGGGAGGTGACCTCAAAAAATTACTGGGACAAAAAGAAATGCACTGGGTGTTCCTTTTAAAAACCCTTACCCCCGAAGGTCTTAATGTAGAGTTCGACCTGTTTAATTTTTTATAATTTTTTATAATTTTTTATAATTTTTTATAATATATTTCTTATATTTTATTATCTTCTATAATTATTTTGTGCATGAAGTACATATTTATACAATGTGACTTATATATGTGACTGTTCTATTTAAATAATATGCAAGGTATTGTGAGTATAAAACCTTGGTTTTAATTTAAATTTTAGACTATCACATGTCTCCAATATAGGTTTGTATTCACTGATACATATAAAGTTTAGCACTTTTGAAAAAAAAAAAAAAAATGGCCACCGATCATGTGACTGTTGTATCTAAATAGAATATGTAAGGTATTGTGAGTTTAAAACCTCGTTTTTAATTTTAAACTATCACATGTTTCACATATAGGTATGTACTCACTTATATAATATGTACTCACACATATAAAATTTAGCACTTTTGAAAAAAAAAAAAAAAAGGAATTATGACATCATTTTGGCGCCATTTTCTAATATGTTCACTGCCTATATAAACCTGTATGTAACAGGATGTACTTTCTGATCTCCACTTGATAAAGCCTAAGGGCAAAACGCGTTGTGGTTTTTTAAACTATATTGTTTTAAATAAAGGTATTTTGGCCACTTTCTTACTGTGAGTTAGCCATCTTACTTTTTATTACTATTATTATTTTACTTTTTTACTACTACCATCCTTTTATCCGGCACAGAGGTGTTTTTACTTTCCAGTGAGGATATTACTCCCAAGAATCCTATGTGGGGATTATACCACTCAAGCTGTATTCATTGAACAGTTAGTCTGTTCAACTAAATACGCATCTACACCACTCTGAAGAATCCCCCACTACAAAAGACTGTATTCACCTCTACAAAGATATACCTCGTTGTTTGATTCATCTACCAGTCAGACTATTTATTCTGGACTTCTATTTGCTTATTATCTATCATATATATTGCATTCTAGTCTGCCTATTCTGTGCTCTTTTAATTTATGTGGTGTATAGTGGCGCTGCCTTCCTTTCTTTTTTTCTCCTCCTGTGATGCCTGCTGTCCACTGACAGGCACTCCTCCCCTCACACAGCGGCCGGGTCTGTAATCATTAGAGGTTAAAGAGAAAATAGGAACAGGGGTATAAGATCGGGTTGCTAATAAGGCGTGAGGGGTAACCCCTAGTAACTAATGCAAAACTAGGAAAGAGAGCGAAACAGATGTAGAGACACCTAAGGGTTAAATCAATCAGTCCCAAAGGTTCCCTACATATGTAAAGCAGGTTGCTTTACATATGTAGGGAACCTTTGGGACTGATTGATTTAACCCTTAGGTGTCTCTACATCTGTTTCGCTCTCTTTCCTAGTTTTGTAATCATTAGAGACATCGGCTGCTGCAAGTAAGAACCTCTTAAGGTTCTTGCTTAACCCTATGAGTGCCTAACTTTGGAAATGTGTGTGTGATGTCACACACACACGTTCACGGTCACATGCTCCCCTGCAGCCAATCAAGGAGCCCCTTAGGCTATTTAAACCATTTTCCTTCATTTCTCTGTGCCCTGTCTTGGTTTCCACTCTGGTTATCCGAGAGCGCGTTTCTGGTACTGTTTCTTGTGTATTTTGACCTAGGCTTTCCTATTTACATTCCGACCTCTGTATCCCTTGACCTTTGGCTTGGTTCCTGACTATTTGGACTTCTATATTCCTCGACCTTTTACCCAGACCACTTCAGCTTAATGAAGTGGTCTGGGTGCCAGGTCCAGCTAGGGTTAACCCTTTTTTTTATAAACATAGCAGTTTCAGAGAAACTGCTATGTTTATGTTAGGGTTAATCCAGCCTCTAGTGGCTGTCTCTTGACAGCCGCTAGAGGCGCTTGCGTACTTCTCACTGTGAAAATCATACGCAAATTCAGCCAAAGAGGAGAAGAGGGAGGAGAGGAGGAGGAGAGCTCCCCGGCGCTGGAGAAAGAAGTAAGTTTAACCCCTTCCACTCCCCAGAGCCCGGCGGGAGGGGTCCCTGAGGGTGGGGGCACCCTCAGGGCACTATAGTGCCAGGAAAACGAGTATGTTTTCCTGGCACTATAGTGGTCCTTTAACGGTTTCGTGTTTTCTGTGTTCTTGTCCTCAGCCTGTCTTGTGTCTTGTGTTCTAAGAACCGGTAATACGTGTTAGGGTTTTCTTTATTTTTTACTTAAGTTCTGCTTGTTGGGCATATTAGTATATCCTGATAGCAGGCCAGTGTTGGGATGAGGGGAAAGGAGAAGCGCGATCACCTATTGTTCACTAGCCGGAGAAGGACATAAGAGTGTAAAAGGCACGGTCCAACTGCGGTTGCGAGAGAGAGAAGAGCAAAGGGGGAGAATTTTTTTCTTAACTCTTCTATCCACAGCAGGGTGAAAAAAGTTTAAGGTATCAAGATATAGATAGATAGATAGACAGACAGACAGAGACAGAAAATTCAAAGTTTCCCTATATAAATGCAGATAACAACGAAGAACATGATAGATAAGAATCTGCGGCAATATATTCACAATACTGAATATTTTTATTTACTACTATGTTCAGTTTGCACATTGTATGCTGTTAATTCTTATTCTAGGTAAAAATTTCCCTTGAAGCACAAACTGCAGCTTAGACTCCCAAAATATATGTTAAAGGGACCTGAATGTTTGGAATGCTCCAGAGAGCAGAATGATGATGTCAGCTGCACTGGGTAATGTTAACAAAGAGTTTGATAGTTTGAATTTGGCAAAGGGTGCAATACATCTCTCTGAAAAATGTTTGATTATAGTTTATCCAGGGAAAAATCCAACTGCCCTTTTACATTCAATAACTTTTCCCTGTTATGAGGGCACATTTTCCATAGTTTCAACGCTGTTTTGTTTTTTTCCATTCTTTTCGATCAATAAAAAAGAGAAGATTTGATTTTGCAAGATCTCTTTTCCTTATAACCTCCTATATATTCTTCTAGATGCTCTCCCCAATAAGATAGATTAAAATATTTCTTACTACACTTGAATACATCATTAGCATTACCAAATTGGCCACAAACAAATGTAAGTTTCACGTAGATAAATGGCGCTGTCCAACAGTATGAGAGGATACTATGTAATTAATTGTGGCATGGAAACCACCATGATTAATTAACTGATTTTATTTATTTGAATTCCTAGAAGCATGTAATTTCTACATACAAAAGCACAACCCGTGTACCTCCAGACACAATGTGAGATACACACAGTTGTCCAGAAGAACATGTTCAAGGTGCAATCTTCAAAGATGCCTCAAACAAGGATAAGCCAAACGCCTTTTCTCCCTCTGTCCTGAGAAATGACGGAACTGGTTGGATTAATCAAATTTCCTCACCAACGTTCCATCATCCAGAAACTGTAGGAATTCTTTATATCCGTATGAAAACAGTTATGGAATGTTTGCAGGTTTAGAATTTCAGGCTATTCCACCTGTTATGCCTCCTGTCTATAGTGGTAGAGAAGCGTGTAAATCTTATGGGGCCTTCTATTGAACATCTCTATGGTGTATTTTCCAACTAATTGACTGTGCTAATACTGATCAAAAAAACAAACACTAAGTTGCTTCAATTTCTTGAACAGAATATAGACAATGGTTCCCAAATTAAGTTGTACTGTCACAGTTCAACCACTAGTAAATTGTGCCCGAAGAACAAGACAATTAAAAAGCCTCTTAAGGCAAGGAATTAAATGGACTTCACAAACAAACAGAAGACAGGTAAAGCATATTATACGGAAAAATAGTGTACTAAGTTTCTATATCTGGATAGCTTGATGGGGTAGACAAGCATCAAGCCTATTTTGGCCAAACCAAGCTTCCAAAAAAGCCAAAATAAAAAACACAAAGCTTGTGAATGTGTTTGACGCATTCGTTTAGCTCCGATATCGTGTGAAGTGGTGTAGACAGCTGCAAAGTGTAGGGTGACCTTTAAATAGAGTGATCAAATATCCCTTTAAGAGGGGACAGCCATAACAAAATTATACTACAGGCTGAATGTAAGTCAATGCTAGGGTGCTTTTAATGTGTGCCTCCCCTTAAAAGGTAATGTTTGGCCACCCAAACTAAGTTAGAAACAGCTAAAGAGGTTGGTTTCTCATGATACACCAATGTCAAGTGAAATACAATTTTGGTTGTCCTAAACCTCCCAAGTTCAACCACAGCTATATACAAACACGTTGATGAGCACCGATTTATAATAAATATTTTAGTAAGAGGTTAAGTGAGGACATTTAACACCGTGTAAGTCTGGATTAGGTTTAGCTGCAATTAAAGGTAAAGGAATGAAAGAAAAGAAGACAAGGGCTGCAGGAAGGCCCACACAGTGTGTTGAAGAAAGAGGAGAAAGAGATGTGTATCTCTGGTACCTACTGCTTCCACTTTAACTCTCTCCCCCAATCCCTCCTGTTTCTTGCTCAGCCAAAAGGAATGAATGACTGTACAACTCCCTGCTTTATTGTCTGAAACAGTAAAAGAAATGCTCTTGAAATGCCCCTGTCAGCAATTTTACAATGAATCGCACAGTGTCTCCTACGGGGGTGATTTACAGATCGAATTCGGATTTAACCCCATCATGGCACGCGTGCTAGAATACTTGTATGAACCTTGCTGTATGGCTTGCTTGGAGCAAAACAGTTAAAAGTGAAAGAAAGGTCTGTTCTGGAAGTCATTACCAAAACTACTTTGGTGTTTTCCTGAGCCGCACGATTCTACGTGCCAACATTGGTCCTGGGAATATAACATTTCTGTCAGTTGTTGCTGAAATGTAACCTAAGAGATCACGGCTTGATAAGCACAGGGCCTTGCACAATGCCTATTGATGTCGCCTGCAGTGACCTGCAGGCGGAAAAAAAAAAAGAGAGAGAAAGTTGCCGCTGACTTACCTTTCTACCTAGCGGCCCAGGAACACCCGTCAGGCCTGCCAAACCAGAGTCACCCTGCAAAAGCAAAAAATGTTTATTAAAAAAAATATCTAAATACATATATATAATGTAGAGTGGGGATAGGCCTTACTAGCCCAGATTTGACTTTTCAAACAATGCATGTGCATCAAATTACTTTGATTTTTATAAAATCTTGTCTGGTGCTTTGTATTCCCCCACAAAATGTGTGTATGTCAATATGTGTGCAGGTCTATGTGTGTATGTATTTCTGTGTGTGTTTGTGTAGAGTGTGTGCGGCACTGTGTGTGTAACAGTGTGGCTAATAAGAGTAGCAGAGTTTGTGTTTGTGTGTAAAAGTGTGGGTAGTAGTATGTGTAGCAGTGTGTGCACTTGTGATATCTGAGTTGTCCATTCTGGCCCAAGTCCTCTGTCTTCCAGAATATCACTGTGTACAGTGTGAGGGGGCGGGGCCATGCACAGATTGCTGGGTTTAGTCTGAGGGGGCGGGGCCAGGCACAGATCACTGTGTTCAGTCTGAGTGGGTGGGGGCATGCACAGATCACGGTGTTCAGTCAAGGGGGGCAAGGCATGCACAGATTGTTGTGTTTAGTCTGAGGGGGCGAGGCTAGGCATAGATCACTGTAATCACTCTGAGTGGGCGGGGGCATGCACCAATTGCTATCTTCACTCTGAGTGGGCGGGGCCATGCACAGATTGCCCTGTTCGGTCTGAAGGAGCATGGCCATGCACAGATTGCTGTGTTCAGTCTGAGGGGGCGGGGCCAAGCACAGATCGCGGTGTTCAGTCTGAGGGGGCAGGGCCAAGCACAGGTTGTTGTGTTCAGTCTGAGGGGGCGGGGCCATGCACAGATCGCTGTGTTCAGTCTGAGGGGGCGGGGCCATGCACAGATCGCTGTGTTCAGTCTGAGGGCGCAGGGCCATGTACAGATCGCTGTGTTCAGTCTGAGTGGGCAGGGCCATGTACAGATCGCTGTGTTCAGTCTGAGTGGGCAGGGCCATGTACAGATCGCTGTGTTCAGTCTGAGGGGCAGGGCCATGTACAGATCGCTGTGTTCAGTCTGAGTGGGCAGTGGGCAGTCAGATGCACAGATCACTGTGTTCAGTCTGAGGGGGCGGGGCCATGCACAGATCACTGTGTTCAGTCTGGCGCAGGGCCATGTACAGATCGGGTGTTCAGTCTGAGGGGGGGCCATGCACAGATCGCTGTGTTCAGTCTGTGGGGGCAGGGCCATGTACAGATCGCTGTGTTCAGTCTGAGGGGGGGCCATGCACAGATCGCGGTGTTCAGTCTGAGGGGGCGGGGCCATGCACAGAGTAAAGTGTTCATTCAGAGGAGGCAGGGCCATGCACAGATCGCTGTGTTCCGTCTGAGGGGGCGGGGCCAGGCACAGATCGGTG